TTGGTGTTATGGATTGAATTGTGTCCCCCCAAAATATGTGTTGTAAATTCTAACCTCTATAGCTGTGATGGCGCAGTGGTTAAGAGCTATGGCAGCTAACTAAAAGGTCGGCAGTTCGAGTCCACCTGCCACTGCTTGGAAACCCTATGGGGCAGTTTTACTCTGTCCTATAGGGTCGCCATGAGTCAGAATCAACTCAGTGGCAAGGGGTTTGGTTTGGTTTCTTTTATGTCTATGGTTATAATCCCATTGGAGAGTGACATTTCTTTGTTATGTTAATGAGACAGTATTAGTGTAAAGTGTGTCTCCTGTGGATCTCTTTTGAGATCTACAAGATTAAACAAGCAAACCAGTGAGCAGAGAGAGGGTAAGATAGATCCCAAGACACACAGAGATTTCCAAGGAACCAGGAAGCAGAAGCTGAAGAAACAAGGGCCTGTCTCCAGAGCTGACAGACAGAGAAAGCCTTCCTCTAGAGCCAGCGTCCTGAATTCGGACTTCTAGATTCCCAAATGGTGAGAAAATAAATTTCTGTTTTGTTAAAGTCACCCACTTATGGTATTTCTGTCACAGCAACACTAGATAACTAAGACAGTTGGTGTGGTAGGACATATTCTAAGATGGTCCCTAAGATTCTGGCTTCCTAGTATAAATGCCCTCTATAGGCCACCCCGCCTTGAGTGAGGGTGGGACTTGTGAATATGACGGAATGTCACTCCTATGATGAAAAAATGTCACATGGCTAAGGGGAGAAAACATTTCAGATACAATTCAGTTGATTTTGAGCTAATCAAAAGGGAGGTAACACTGGGTGGGCCTGATCTAATCAGATGAACATCTTAAAAGAGAGTCTAGAGGTCATAGATGGAGGAAATCTGAGATACTTTCCTTCTGGCTTTGAAGATGCATGCAGCCGTGATGTGAATTGCCTCTGAACAGAAATAGCCACTAGTTGCTGAGGGCCTTAGTCTGAAAAACACAAGGATTCAATTCTGCCAGCGACCTGAATGAGCTTGGACAAGAGTTCCAGCTGAGAATGCAGTCTGGCCCATTCCTTGACTGCAGCTTTGTGTGACCCTGAGCAAAGGACCCAGAGAAGCTGACCAGTGGAAACTGGAATAACAAACATGTGTTGTTTTAAATCCCCAAATGTATGGTAATTTGTTATATAGGAATACAAAATAGATACAGTTGTGGTAATAGGAAGAACTTAAGTAAGTACAAACTGATTTGTGGCCATAATGTTACTGCCTCTGTGAGTGTGTGTGTGTGTGTGTGTGTGTGTGTGTGTGTGTGTGTTTTCCACAGTTTCTTACCTCTCTTCTCTTTGTTCTACGCCCAACACAAACATGTTTACTCAACTCCATCCTTCCATGTACATTAGCCCATTCCAAAGAAGAGGAGTAAACCAAGTGCCTTTCCCCAGAGAATACATAAGAGATCTCCTGTCACATTAAAAAACAAAACAGCTGGTAGAAAGCCCTGCATATAAAAAAGTGCCCCATCCCCCTAAGTGAAGACTATAATAGATGAGAGAAAGCAGACAGGTCAGGTGGGTCTGGATTCAGTGTGTCTAATATAATGCGATCGTGCTGTGAGAAAGATACTCTCCCTTGGGTGACCAAGATCTGCATTCAGTTCAACCCCTGCTGTCATCAGGGCCCTGAAGTGATACGGACGCTGAAGAAACATCTCAGCTGTAATTGGGAGGCGACATTAATTTTCTTCTCCCAGGGGAGATGATTTTTGGCATGAATTACCCTCTAGAAGTAGACCTCTCCCATCATATTTAACATCTTCTGTTGTCCCTTCCTCCTGGAATTGTCATAAATGTCTGTGAGCTCTCCGATGGGGCTTGACACCTGACAGAGTAAAGCCACGAAAGGGAAAACAGCCTTGAACCTATACTGGATGTGGCTAAACACAAACACTGAGTTTTCTCTTGCCCTGACAGAGAAACCCACTAGAAATAGCAAAACCAAACCAGAAAACACTGCCTCAGGGAGGAGGACAGAGATGGTACGCTTGAGACCTGAAAACTGATTATATGCCTCTATACTACTGTTTGAGTTTTTAGTTTAACTGAAAGTGTATTACTTTAAAAACACATAAACAGTAAAACCAGAGGATGGTAAATATTCAAAGCGTGATACATAACTTCTCTAGTCAGAGGTCAAGCGTTTTAAAACCTGCATCTTTCTTCATACAACTGATGTTCAATTTTCCCTAAGTGAATCATTATATAAGAACATGAAGAGTTCAGTATTAGAGTGCTATTTTATATATACTTTGAGAAATAAAACCTGATAGGTTCTTTACTCTCATTGGTTCTTTGTATAATGAGATCAGTTATTTGATATTGATTGTTTTCATTTAATTGAAATATAAAACTATAAAACAAATAGAGATGTCAATCCAAATTTATTAAAATGCATATGCAACAGTCATAAAAAAGAATTGGCTTTTGGTGGCTTGTAGGTCTCGAAGATCCCAGCCAAGCCCCAGCGTCAGACCGTACTTATCATTGTCTCTGCCCTTTTTACCAACACTCTCAAAACACCCTCAAAAGATCGTTTGATCTGCTCACAACAAAAAAGAAAGAGAAATGAATTTTGTAGTATTTGATGCAAGACTTTTAGGAAATTTTTTTTTTTGATTGATTTGAAAATAAGATTTTCAATGCACATTGTTGTAGGGGAAAAAATATAGATTTTAGTAAAGCAAAAAGACAGTTTGATTCGGCATATATTCAAAAAGACAAAAGTGGGAAACAGGCAATCATGCTGCTAGAGCCATGTCTGCCCAAGTCCAAAGAATAGTACAGAACAGGCAAGAGTGGGAAAAGCGACAAGTATGCTGCCTCAGCCATGTCCGCCCCAGTCCAAAGACCATTACAGAGCCATCAGTATATATCAACATTACAAATGGGCAAAACCATTGAAAGCTTCACCTTTTCAGATTGCCTAGAAATTGATCCTACATTTTGAATTGTCTTTCTTAACAATCATTGGTACAGTTTTCAATGGGGTGCTCTTTGGCCCAACAGATCTTCTATTCACTAAATGCTAATAGAAAAGGATAAGAGTGGAAAGTCTTTTGTCTTCTGTTTGATTGGCTTATGTGAAAGGTTCCCTAAAAGATATTTTCCAAGATTATGTTAGCTATTGTCTTTATACCTCAGGGCCCAGTTGATGTGTCCATGTGAGTCCTTGTGAGCCCTTTTCTAGCTGGGTCAAATTCTCTATGCTGCAGGACAGGGAATAAATGATTCCAATATATTATTTTCTAAATGAACATGTACATGACTCTTTTACTGATGGATAAATATAAGGCAAGAAAGTTCTGGGGCACCCTGGACTACCTGGATTCTCATTCCCATTGCAAAATCTGGAAGCCTTCATCCTGGAAACGTACATTTCAAAGTAATGGCCCAAGACGTCCCATTGTTCTTCAGAATTTAGGGTATTGGGGAAAGGAAACAAAACTTGTTTTGCCCTAAAACTGGATGACAAGTTTGAGGAAACTGTCATACAGCATATAGCACTGGAACTTTCAGCTCTAGGCAAATGTATATATAGACTTCCAGAAAGAGCTAACAAAAAGCATTAAAAATAGTTTTACTTTTAGAAAGGTGAGGATGGGACTTCCCAAATTAGTACGTTATATGAAGCACTGAAATGATGTTCATATATATATTATTTGGTGTTGTAAATTTTACTTAAATTTGTGCAGAGATAATTTGCAAGAAAAGATGCACGAAACTACAATACTTTAATATTAAAACATAAAATCTAAATATTCATAACATTCTTTATCTTGATGCTTAATAAACTCCAGAATAGACAGGGAAATTTAATCCATTTTAAAACACTTGGATTCAGATATATACAAATTGTAGGATGAGACAAAAAATGAAAAATTTACAGACCTAAGAAGTAGACAATTAGTAACAATATAAGAGATGAAAAGTAAACCTGACCGTGCATTGCCTGTCAACTCTAAGAAACACTTAAATAAACTGTTGCTTACAGATAAAACCATATTTGTGCCTACAATTGTCATCCAAAATACCACTCCTTGGCTTATACAATACACAGTTCCATGGATTTAGATTTTGAGATGAAAATCTGTAACGAAGACAAAAATATTAACACATGAGAAAACAGTATGAAAATGTTCACGATTGATGATGTTGTTGATTAATGGTAGAACTTTCAGAAGCATTTAAATGAAATGTTAACATGCTGAATGATTCTTTTTTTCCATTCAATAACCGTGCTTTTCAGTTTTCAGATTACATTGTTGCACAGACCTTGGTTATTCCCTCCATGATCAATAGTATTGGGACTAGAGGTTTTTTCTCTCGTTGCTGTTCTTGCCATTGTTGTTAATCATTTTGATGCTTAATATACTTCTATTTTGTTTAAAGATGTATTAACAGAGCTAATCTAGAGAAAAAAACCAGAGCTTATAATTCACCATTGTAATATATGCAAATGCCATGTTTGTGAGGGAAAATAAAATTCAAAGTTCACAAATATAGAGAAGGTAAACCCAGAATATTTGAAACACTGGGCGTATGTTGAGAATTTTGGCTCCACCAGAATAAAGAAAGGAAAGCGTATCCTGCTTTATTTGATGTGCCAGGACTGCTGACTCAGTGGTATTGTGTCTGTGAGCAAGTGTGCATGCACATATCCATGTATGTGTTTGCCCCAAGGTAAAATGGAAAAAGAAATATCAAAAGTTCTTTTATGGGAACAAAGACACTAAATTTCATGAGTCGGAATCGACTCCACAGCACCCGGTTTTGAGCATGACTTTGGAGTTTCGGGGTTGGTCTAAAATTGAATTGTGTTGCACCTAACCTCTTTTCTGTAATCTCACGCCCTAGACATGTTACCTTTGCTGCACTGCTTCTGGACGTTACCTGCACTGTCTGGTCTCGGGATAAAATGACAAAGAATAGAAAAGGCACCACCAGGCTGCCAGAAACTTACAGATCCTGGGAGAGAGCAGAGCCGTCCTCCCACACCCAGGCGCCACGTGTTTCATTATAAGAGAGTCCAATCCAATATAAGCGTCCCCTAAATTTCAAAAAATCCTGCTTGGAAACAGAGACAGACATATTAACCTAATTTGAATGTACTCTGGGAGCAGTGTACTTTTAAGAAAGTCAATGTCCCAGCATCAGAATCAGCCTATCGATCGCACAAACCGAAATCATTCTTGACTTCTAGTTTAGAAGGTACAGCCCTGTGGCTCAGATTTCTCATTTCTCAGACCCATTCATTTATGGAGGAAAAAATATCACAAAATCTCACTCCTCTAAGGGGTAAAAAGTGTTATTAATTAAAAAAAAAAAAAAAATTATGTATTCCATGAGTTAAAGTTGTCATGATCGAGAATTCACAGGGAATTAACAATTCCAGCCTGAAGTTCTCTCAAATCAACACTATCTTGACAGATACATCTGCACAGTATGACCTACTCAGCTTTTAGTCAGCTCAGTCTCTGCATACATCTAGGGCAATTGATATCTTTTTTTTATTATTGTGAGGTGCCTTCAGGTCAGCTCCGACTTGTGGTGACCCTATGCACAACAGAACAAAACACTGCCCGCTTCTGCGCCATTCTCACAGTGCTGCTACGTTTAAACCCATTGATGCAGCCACTGCTTCAATCCATCGCGTTGAGGCTCTTCTTCTTTTTTGCTTACCCTCTACCTTACCCAGCATGATGTTCTTCTCCAGGGATTGGTACCTCCTGATAACATGTCCAAAGTATGTGAGATGAAGTCTCACCATCCTTACTTCCAAGGAGCACTCTTGCTGTACTTCTTCCAAGACAGACTTGTCCATTTTTCTTGCAGTCCATGGTAAATTCAATATTCTTCACCACATCATAATTCAAAGGTATCAATTCTTCTTTGGTCTTCCTTATTCATTCTCCAGCTTTCACATGCATATGAGGCGATTAGAATACCATACGTTGGCTCAGGCAAACCTTAGTCCTTAAAGTTATAGCTTTACTTTTTAACACTTTAAAGAATTAAAAAGGAGTGGCTGGTGGATTCAAACTGCTGGCCTTTTGCTTAGCAGTCAAGTTCTTAACCACTAAGCTACCAGGTGAAAGGATACAACCCTGACGCACACCTTTCCTGACTTTAAACCACACAGTATCCCCTTATTCTGTCAGAACGACTGCCTCTTGGTTTATGTACAGCTTCTGCATGAGAACAATTAAGTGTTCTGGAATTCCCATCCTTCGCAATGTTATCCATAATTTTTTATGATCCAGACACTCAAATGCCTTCGCATAATTGGTAATACTATAACCGTTTGCCTGTGTTTTATTGCAAAGAACGGGTTGTATCCTTTCTCCATACTTATTGAATCTGTACACTGAACAAATAATCCAAGAAGCTGGATGATATTAAGAAGAACTGGGCCTCAGGATTGGAGGAAGACTCATTAACAATCTGTGTTATCAGATGACACACCCTTGCTTCCTGAAAGTGAAGAGCACTGGAAGTACTTACCAATGAAAATCAAAATCTACAGTCTTCAGTATGGACTACACCTCAACATAAAGAAAACAAGTATCCTCACAACTGGACAAATAAACAACATCCTGATAAACGGAGAAAAGATTGAAGTTGTCAAGGATTTCTTGACACTTGGATCCACAATCAACACTCATGGAAGCAGCAGTCAAGAAATCAAAAGACACATTGCATTGGGCAAATCTGCTCAAAAGTCTTCTTTAAAGTGTTAGAAAGCAAAGATGTCACTTTAAGGATTAAGGTTCACCTGGCCCAAGCCCTGATGTTTTCAATCACCTCATATGCATGTGAAAGCTGGGAAATGAATAAGAAAGACTGAAGAAGAATTGACTACTTTGGGTTATGGTGTTGGCGAAGGACATTGAAAATACCAAGAACTGCCAAAAGAATGAACAAATTTGTCTTGGAAGAAGTACAGCCACAATACTCCTTAGAAGCGAACATGGTGAGACTTCATCTCATAGTTTGGACGTGTTATCAGGAGGGCCCAGTCCCTGGAGAAAGACATCATGTTTCGTAAAGTGGAGGGTCAGTGAAGGAGAGGAAGACCCTCGATGAGATGAATTGACACAATGGCTGCAACAATGGGCTTAAATGTAGCAACGATTGTGAGGATGATGCAGGACCCGGCAGTGTTTCATTCAGCTATACACAGCGTCACTGAGAGTCAGAACCAACTCTGTGGCACCTACCAACGATGAAACATCTTTCTGATATTCTCTGCAGATAGCCAAGATCTGTCTGACATCAGCTATGATATCCCTTGTTCCATGTCCTCTTCTGAATTTGGCTTGAATTTCTGGCAGTTCCCTGTTGATGTACAGCTGCAACCGTTTATGAATCATCCTAAGCAAAATTTTGCTTGAGTGTGATATTAATGATATTGTTCAATAATTTTTGCATTCTATTGGATCACCTTTCTTTGGAATGAGACCTTAGGAATTGGTAATTTTTTATCACCAGACCCTCCATATTGGCTCTACATTGTATTCCAGAGACATGACAGAAGTTACGTAATTATAGAAGAATTTATACATTCAATTAAAAGAACTAAACATTGCAAAGCCATTTAGCTGGTTCTTTAAATAAAATGAGTAAAATAATGATCTATTACTTTGAATGCAACCAGAAAAATTTCATTCACTCCATCTTGTATATTGATTTTATTCCTGGATGTAAATCTTTGAGAAATTTTATATGGCCTTTATAATGATTGCTTCAAAGTACAGAGAGTTAATAATTATTGTTCAGATATGACCATCCATTTACTCTCTGATTTAAGACTTGATTCAAATTATTCAGCTTACTTAGAGATGATGTTTTCCAGAACAAAGAAAATGTGGAAACATAAGTACATACAAGTTCGTCTTTGCTTTCCAGCTGAAGTAGACTGGAATTCTGAGAAGCACAGAAATCCCTACTTTCCACCCAAGTGTTATCTCCTTTGGAAAAGAAATAACAATTGCATCGGTACCCAATCCACTTTTCTTGGCAAGAACAGCAGTCAGAGCCTAAGATAAAAAATAAAATATGATTGATGACAATGGACATTTCAAATATTTTTAGTACTGTTTATTCATTCAAAAACCATTTGCTATTTACTCTTTTCTTTACAAATCATCTTTGAGCATGCATTACTGTGTGCACTGCAGTGTGCTATGTTCAGGATTATGAATGTGAACAAGTCAGACATGATCATTTTCTTCATGGAGACTATATTCTAGAGATAGAGTAAGACTTATATAATTCCCAATCATTGATCAATTATACTGAATGATAATGTTTACAAGTAGAGAAAAGACATTCAGTATATTAAAAGAGCACATAGCAGGGTAAGGGATGGAGGGAGGTCAGAAGAATGTATTTTGAGGAAATGACCCAAAGCTGAGCTCTGCAGTACAAATAGGAGTTAACTAGATCAAAGAGAGGTGATTTAAAAGGGGAAAGCATTTTATCATATTTTCTGAGGCAACCAAAAATACCATGCATTGATGAGAATCTGATGTTTTAGAATTTTTTTTTTTTAAATGAAGATAATTAAAACAATTAGTTTGAAGTCTGATAATAGAGTTTAGCGGCCTTCCTCATCCTCAGTAACAGAAGACATGACACATGGTGGATACTCGAATGTTTGTCAAATGAATGGTGCTGAGATTGCAGAAGCTGTAAATAAAATGCCATATGGTCACAGAAGGAGAGAGCGCTTGGAGTGCATTAGGGGAGAATATATTCATTCAGAAACTGTACTTGAAGCTGACTCTTACTGTAAAGTAGATTTTACACTTGCAGAAATCTGGAAACTATATCTGACACATAACTACTAATGGAAATACAGGTACATTATAGCAAGCATTTTCTGGAATCGAGATAGGAAAGTAAAGGTTATGAGGAGACGCAGGAAGGGAATTAGGATTAACCGTAATATTTACTGTAGTTTATTTATAATTTATTAGCTAACGTGCATTCATAGAGGACAGAAATCTGTTACTTCATGCTAATATTATCCTTAATCCTTTAACATACAAATGATGTGAACTTAGTGGAATTTAATCATTCCTACATTGGAGAACAATCGAATGAGACTGTCCTACAATTTGGGAAGTAAACTTATGTTACCATGTGGGATTTACCATCGGGCTCCTATCTGTGAAAAACAAGAAACTGTCTATTTCAATGTTCTACCAGCACCGAGCATTTCCAATCTATGGGGCCTACCTTCCTGGGGTTCTACGGTGGATCCTGGAGAGGATGTTGGCTGAATACTTTGTCTGGTAAATGCTGCAAGAAATTATTAGAAATTTATAGAATTAAGTACTGGTTTAAGTGTATCCATGAGATAATATTACACACTAGCAAAATGCAGCATTTATTATTAAATAGTTTTATCATAGCATTGATCTTTATAAAGATGCCTAGAGAAACTTACAACGTTTCAATAAAATTCCCAGGGTAGCCATCAACAAAAGGCACACTACTCCCAAGGCGCCAGAAATCAGCCTCCACGAAGTGGTCTGAAAAGCTGTAGAAAAAGAGAGAGATGGCAAAGGTTTAAAGAACAAACATAGCAGCTGAAGTTCTTAAAAGCAGAAACCAGTGAGAGAAAATCCAGAAGCATCAGGATTCACAGTGTGGATATATAGAGAAATATTGTATTTTTTAGGTCTTTTATGTGATAACACAGTCATCCCGCCAATGAACCGTTGGAAAAGGAAGACATTCCATGTAAAACTCCAACCAACACCAACATTTTTTTTGGGGGGGTGAGGGTGGGGTACATTATTCTTCACTGAGATTATCCACACATTTTCTTCTCTACCAGCTCTGTCTCCAGAAGACACTGAATTTAACATTAGTTGTTTTGTTTTGTTTTTTTCAAATTGGCAAAGAAGCTTAGAGATCTAGTGTAAAAAGAGAGCAACAGGCTTCAACTTCTGTTTCATGTGCTGACACAACAGGCTTTTACTTTTATTCTCTCATGAAAAATCTCAAGGTAGACAGCCTGGTTCCCACTAGGTAGATGAGAAAATTGAGGGTCCGAGAAGAACATCATTTTCTCAAGGTATCAAAGCTAGTAAGTGTGCAAGTCAGACATAAAATGCAATTCTATCTAAGCCCAGAGTCTTTCATGAAACATATTTTACCATTGTCACTGACATAACACTATTTGTAGTATGTCCTTCTGCTACTCTCAGTACAGGCTCTGCTGTGAGAAATGTTTAGCTGCTCCTAGCTGTAGGTATTGTAAGACAAAGAGACAGGAGCACTTTGCGACTGGGGATGGGAGATTCCAAAGCCAATGTATAGCGGAATTCTCTGGCGAGCCAAGTTCATTTCATAGTACATTGAATTATGATATATAAACAACTTTTTTTTTTTTTTTAACAGGGACATGACATTTGCTCTTACCAAAATTTACTTGGTTATAAGCTTTTTCCTGAAACAATTCAACTTTAGGAGATCCTGCATTAACATTAGCATACCCCTCCAGAGTCATGCCAGTGACAATACTACACTGTAAACTGTTCCTCTGGGGGAGCTTTGGGAGTCGCAACACAAATGTTAAAAAAAAAAAAAAAAAATTTAAGCATTGTGTCATTTATATTTGGCATTATCTGTCTATTCCTATGGTAGAATTTCTTTGATCATAATATAACCAGGTGAATTCATTTCTCATTCCGAAATTAGACATATCTACAACCTAAGCCACTCTGTTGAAAAAGCTTTCCAGACTATTTGTAAGTTACAGAATGATGAATCAAGAAACTAAAGAGAATGTAGAAGGTGCTGACACGTGGAAAGCCTAAAAACTCCCCTGTCAATTATGCCCTCTTCTCTTAAAGCCCTGCCGTGAAATTCTCCATGTCCTGTGGGACCCCTTTCTGGGGTACTTTCATCTTTTGCATTTCTGACGGGGGCACACATACCTGCCATGAGAAATGATGTCCCAAGGTGGATGCAGGGAAGGCAGGCAGAGGTCTTGGTGGAGAGGAGCGGTGCTGGATCACAGAGCCGGCTGGAAGCCAAGGAATCCCAAAGTTGCGCAGGAGGAATTTTAAAAGAAAAAGAGAAAGAAAAAATGCAATATTTACGAGATGTTCCTGAATCAGCTGTTGGTGAGCCACATGTGTGTAGTACTGAGCAAGAAGCAGTAAAATTACCAGCTTCTA